GTGTACAATAGATCTGGGTTTTTTTTAACATATATTTGTTTACATTTTGCAAACTGGCACCATTAAAATTAAACAGAAGCTGTTAGCAGTTCCTGTTGACAGTGTGTCCATGGATATACAGACACCTATCACTTGATTGCATTGGTACCTAAGCAAACCTAAAAACAGAATAATTGTCAGACAAGTTATGGAGTTATATGGAGTGTCTTTTTCTGATTTGATTGAGTTGTAACTCCAACAAGAAAAATTTTTGACACAAATTAGGGCAATCAGGTGTTTAGGGTTTTAAAGTACCTTAATTGCCTCCTTCAGCTGTGTTTCACAGCTGCTGCTGCTGCAGCTGACCTGCTCACATCTCTCCCTCCTCTATCCCCTGCAGTAGATCTATAACAGAACCATAAATGGACTGAAACATAACCTAAACATTTCATTGGCGTTTTTCAGGAAAATACCTGGCCGACAACTAACCCATGCTACTGAGCACTGTTGAACAAAACAATAGCAGAGGACTGAGGTTGACACCGAGGACAGAGGACAGACCGACACCAGACAGACTCTCCATGGACCTTTTCCGAACCCACACAACAGGTCCGCAGCCTACCCAGCAGTATTGTATAACTTGCATATAGCATCGTGGAACTGTTTTAGGTCATGTAATTATTGTATTTGTATTCATTTCATAACATCTGTATTGCTGCAGTTAGACACCTGGGTTCTCCCCTCCTCTAAAGTCTGTGCCTCTGTCTCCATCCTCCTCTGGTCAATGTTTGGTGGTGTTTTTAAAAGTTTCACTGCAGCTGCCTGACCGAAGACATGGACAGAAAGAGTTTTGGCGAGATTGTAACTCGGGATGAGGTTTGCTGTTCCCGGTCCAGAATATTCCGGCAGTAAAAATACCCTTAAGTAAGATCTTTTTGGTCAGACATACACCTCAAGCTCTGACACATCCAAAGTTAGAGTAAGTAGAACTGAAGCAGGGCCCAGGACAATACATTGCAAGTTATACACCTTCATTAGCACATAAGAAAATCGCAGCTTCATAAATAATCCTTCTGTTAGGATCTGGGCTCAAAGCCAGAGACAGCTGTTCTCACTGACTTGCACTGACAGCGGCCATTTGTGTGGCTTTGGCCAGCAATCGAATGCATTTACTGATGCAGTTTGACATATGTTGTCACAAGCAATTCGACGAAAGATGGTGTTTCTTGCCGGTGCTTATGAGCAATCGAAACACAAGAGCAAGAAACTACAAAAAACAAAACAAAAAAAAAAAGTTTTTCATGCATTGCCTACTGGTACTACAGGGTCACATGACTTTGGATCACATCCTTTTTAATATAAATGCACTGATCAGTCAATCAAACTGTTATTTTATTTCTCTGGAATATACACACATGGAGAGGTTTTCAGCAAGTTAGGCAGCTGCAATGATAAATCAATGTACTGGTTGCAAAATAAGAAAAATATGTTTTTTCCCGTCAGAACAAAAGAAGTGTACAAAGTGTCATTTTAAATTAATAATATATATCTTAAAGGGCGTTTGGTGTTTTCCTTGTATTGTCAGATAGCCTTTCTGTTGTTCCCAGGACAGCAGTGTTAGACTCCAGAGTACATGACAGCATTCTATTTTTATTTATTGATGACGATGATTTGTTGTATAAAACATGTGAGTCTGTATATGAATAGAATTTGAATGGTATCACACAACTCAGAACCCTTAAAGGTATAAATATTTGAATTCTCTCTCTTCTTTTTTGTTATCTGTGTAGTTGGGTAACCTGTGTACAGTATAAGGTATAATTTTTGAATTTATTTCAGATATAATTTTTTAACTCAAGTGCAACAGAAGATTTGAGCTATATATGGGTGTGGGGGTAATTTAAAGAAAAAGATAAATATCTTCCTGGATGCTGTGTAATGCTTTGTGAAAGCAGTGTTAATGTAGAGGTAGCTATACCATGGGCAAGGTCCACGCTGTAAAGAATCAATTTGATATTTTGGGAAATATGCTTATTCACATTTTTGCTGAGAACTGGATGAGAAGATCAATACCGCTCTCATGCCTTTGTTAAATAGGAAGCTGGAGCCAGGCGATGGTTAGCTTAGCTTAGCATAAAGACTGGAAACGGGGAGGGAACAGTTAACTCTGTCCATAGGTTCCACCCACCAGCACCTTTAACACTCACTTATTAACACAGTATGTTTTCATTGTTTAAAATGTACATAGAACCAAGTTTCAAAAACAAGTGGCAATGTAAAGTAGATTTTTAACCTTGATAGTAATGGTGGTCAGTTCATCCACTATCTTGGTCCAGATTGAAATAACAACAATTATTGGATGGATTGATGAATTGAAATAAGTTTGGTGGTCCCTTAACTTCTCCTGTAGCGCTAGCAGGTCAACATTTCAACTACTCCAAAACTAATGACTGTACTTTACTTTGACCTGATTAACAAAAATTAACATGTTGACACACCAAATGAATATTTTTAACATTAGGCAATACCTGCTACATATCAGCTTGTTGGCTTTGTCTTTGCGAGCATGTTAGCATGCTGACGGTAGCATACCAAGACCAAGTACAGACTCGCAGAGGTGTTAGCTGAGTCTTAAGTCTTGCTAACTGTTGGACAGAGTCAGGCTAACTGTTTCCCCCTGCTTTCGGTCTTTATGCTAAGCTAAGCATAGCTTAATATTTAACAGTCAGACATTAAGATTGATGTCCATCTTCTCGTCTAATTCTTGACAAGAAAGAAAACACACTTATTTCCCAAAATGCTGAACTGTTCCCTTAAATAACAACAAGACAATGACGACAAAAACAAATCAGTTTTCCTGAGCAGCAGTAACGAAGTTTGGTGACTAAGGTGCCACTACTGGAACAGGATTTGTTTACTGGGACCAGCTTGTCTTTTTTTTTTTTTTTTTTAAATCAAACCTCATGGTGATAAATCAAATCTTCTCAGTTCCCACATCTACCTACGCAGTTATCACCTCAGCTTTGACCATGTGTCATCAGTGAAGCTTCTCACCTGCCTCATACCTGTTTCCATTCACCTCAGTGGTACCTAAACTCCCCTATTATATCATGAGCACATCCCCGATCATCCAGCCCACTCGAATCCATGGCTTTATTTTGCATAATCGTAATGGTCTCTGTGAGATGACAAGAGTTGAATGAGGTTGTGGAGCGAGGTTAAGTCGACCAAAATGCTTCTTTCTGTTTTGTTTTGTTTTGTATTTTATGTCAGTCAGTCCTCTGTTAAGGAGAATAAGCTGAATATTTTTAAAACGGATAAAAATGAAAAAATATTATATTGTTTAATGTGAAAAAAAAAACACTGTGCTGATGATGTTGAACTTCCTGAATGCTCTGACACTCAACATGAAGAACAAAAAGTGTGTGTGAAGTGTAGCTGAAGATCTCTGTACTGTACTGTATGTCGGCATTCTGCTAAATGCAACCAATCGTAGTCCTTTCAGAGCTGTCGTAGAAGCATCGTAGTCTGGATTTAGGACAAGAGACCTGTTTATCTCATATCAATAGTCCTATTCAATGATGTAGTACTTTTGATTGGACAGTTTTTAAATATATGTGGTTATTTGGCCACTGATAAAAATCAGATCTGGGTCATGCAGTTAAAATAAAAATCTTGTTCTTGACCAGATTTTCAGATTTTTTTGTGTGCAGACCCAGTACAAGAGAACACTGAGGTTGCATTTTGTTAAAGTGAGGTGATGATGATTGGTGCCATTTAGCTCCTGGTAATACATTAGTGAGGTAACATTTTCTTTCAGTCATGTCAGTCTTTCATCTATTTGACTGGCGGAATCAACGTGCCTGAGAGAAAGTTGTTACCTTTTGGGTGAATCTTGAGGCTATCAGTGCAACAGTCACTACAGCATTATCTACAGACGCCCACCATACACATCCCCCACCATGCATCTGTTTTAAATTACCACTACACTACAGCTTACAGGTCTTTCTGCTTGAAAGGCAAAACAAAACTCAGTCTGCTGGTTGCTTGATTATTCTTTGTATCTCCTGATAAAAAAAACAATGGATCAAAACTCATATTTTCCAGATCTTCATCTCCGTGGTGAATTTGTCCTGCAGTAATTCATTATTGCATGCAGAGCATGCAGTAAAAGGTGGGGCATCTATGATGATAGATAGTACTGAAATGACGTGTTGTGCTGAGTGTCAGTTACCTGTATTAATGTTGAGAGGAGAGCAGGGAGTGTGTTTATGTGTGCTATAAGCCAGAATGCTTTTTGGTTCTGTACCGTTAACCTCAAACACATGTGCAAGCTGTTTGTACAGTACATAACAATGCTAAGATGAACTGAGAAACTTAGTTTGCTTCTTTCCAAAACCAATAAAAGTTCTAAATGGATGCCCGTGTCCTGCAGTTTCCTTTATATTCTGTAATTCTGTGTTATTTAGTCTTTCTACTCAGTACATACAAAAAAAGTACAACTGGATATTCTTTTTTTTTTTAATCACATTAGCAGCTAGTTGTAGGGATGATAATGTCAGTCAGTCAGTCAGTCAGTCAGTCCACCAACCACTTTGGTCCAGACTGAAATATCTCAACACCTGCTGTTGTTGACTGATTCCTCTGGCACCACGAGGTCCCTACCCTCAGGTTGGGAACCAGAGCCTGAGGCCACCATGATGCCCTTTTTTCTTTTTTTTCTTTTTTTAATAAGAATCTTAGTAACACTAGGTTTGATAAAATTGTAGTAGTGCCCAGTGTTCAAGACTGTAATGTCAAAAAGATGTCACACCTCACAGTGCCAGTCCTGTGCAAGAACATTTATTTGACAAAAATAGCAAAATGATAGAATACAGCTGATGTTTCCTATAAATACATCGAAGCACTGATGGAAATTTTACAAAAACTGCAACCTTGTGGAGACTCACTACATACGGGACACAAGCCCGGGCTGAATCTGAGTGGGGAGTGATACAGTCCTACTCCTTTGAATACCATCCCTGAGTGCATTTACATCAACTTATCTTTGTTTCTTAATCCTCATAGATTCATTTACACCATAAATATATACATATTTATGGTTGCACACATCTTCCAGCTCAGGTTTTCAGAAACATGTTCTCAGATGCTCAAGTGGTCCACATTCATGTCTACAGTCCTCACAAGTTAAGGTAATAAATCAAAACCCACAAAAATATCAAAAGCAATTAGAAAAACAGCAGTTGTGGATGTGAGCATTATTGCACATACAATACAGTGATCACATTGTTTTAAAAACACCAGCGTTGCGATTCAGATTTGGTTTCTAGTAAGGCAAGATGGGAGAAAACAGTCAGTTTGGTCACGTGGAGAATGAGAGAGAAGGAGAGAGAGGGGGTCATCCTCAACAGAGGAAGGTGAGGTCGCTCTTCCTGCAGCCCACCTGGCAGCACACGGTGGTCAGCATGTTGTTAATGTCTCGTCTGGTCAGCTCAGAGCCCGGGCTGCTGCTGCTGAGGCTCTCCAAGCTGTTCTGTTCCCCTGTTGGCAAATGTGGAAAAACAAAACATGTAATATGTAATATGACTGGCACTGAATGCATCCCTATACCTGGAAGACATATAATGAAATAATTCTATAGTAAAATGAATCATCATTAAGTATTAGTTTTTCATTACATTTTTATCAGTTGTTTCCACAAATAATGGATGGACAACTGTTTTCAGATCAGTCTTTTGTAATTTATGTCCATGTTCTCATTAAATAAGGAAACTCTAAATGACTGTACAGATTAACTCAGTGCTATTTGTCTTCTACAGTGTCACTCTGCTCTTTCTAATCAACCCGCCATGATAGGCTAACTGGGTTTGTGTGTGTGTGTGTGTGTGTGACAGTGAGAGAGTGGCTGCCCAGGGAAGAGACTGCTCCAGCATTTAATCATGATATGTGGCCTCTGGCATAATAATTCCAAACAGCAGACACTGCGTCTTGGTTGCTGAGGCACCTGTCTGCCTGCACACCCACTGCAGCTTCTGAATTAATAGTACACAGCATTCGGTACATGCACTAAAGAAAGCCAAGGCAGTCTGGAAAGCTGCCAGTCAGTAACTTTCAGACACATGAATCCTCTTTATTCTGACAGCTGCTTATGTTTCAGGCTGAGGGATAAGATGTCACATGCAAAGAATGGTACTCTAGCAGACGGACTCAGCAGCCTAGTGAGTTCAGATTTTGATCTGAGAGATAATGTCAAATAGAAAAGGAATATGATTCCACGAAAGGTGGATGCAAACTGCAAGATTCACCTTTACCTTTTACTAAACTTGCCATTTGTTATTTAAACCCTTGACAAGTTGCAGTCAGGACTGTTTGATAGACAGATAGATAGATACATACTCTATTTATCCCCCAGGGGAAATTCATGAATGTATGTGGTCAAACATTGTTCAAAACTGCAGAACTGTTTTAAATACAATTGAACAAGTTTAACAGGTTTAAGAACATGCCAAGTATGTCTCCTAATATACAGTATCTTAAAAGAGGAGACAACACAAGCTAATACAGAATATATATGTGACACTGTCATAGTGTGGAATAAGACCATTTTCAACAAACTTCAGTCTACTCAAAGGGAAACCGTATGTTGAACGGATATTTTTTTTTCTCATTGAGATCTCAGAGAGACCCTGAGAAAAGAGTAGAAAACACAGTAATAAACTTCATAGGAACAGTGTGTAGGTAACAGTGTGGCGTGCAGTACATCTATCACACAACAGGACTGAGTTTAAGGATAAATCTACACAGAAACACAAAAAGAAAAATCCACTCATTTGTACACACTTGTCATAAGACTAACCCTGAACCAAGGAGAAAAATGGTTGTAATTAAAAAACAAAAAAGAAAATATTATTGACTCTTCTATTCATCAGAATAAAAGAGGAGAAGTTGTCTCACCGTCCATGTCTGACTCAGTGAGGAATCTCCTCCAACGGGAGCCTCCGCAGGTGTAGACGACAGCCCTCAGGAACTCTCGACCGCACAGCTTCACTGCCTTCACCTCTGCTCTCACCTGGTCCACACACACCACTGCACACAGGAGCAGAGGCAGAAACACCAGAGCCCGCATACTGGATACCTGAGTGTCTATACAGAGGTTTGTCTCTTTGTCAGTTGTTGGTTTGTTTGCTTTCAGAAACCACCGCAGCTCCTCTGTCCTGAGCTGTTCTTCTGTTCTGTTTATCTTCCCCGGCTGACTTTGACTCTTCTCTTTAGGAGGCTGCAGCACAAGTGGACTGGCTGTTGATCCACTGCTTGCATCTCCCTGCATTATATAGCATCCACCTTTCACTTCATCAATGCTGAGTATCTCTCCACCTCCCTCTGACTGGCACTCAGCCCATCCGCACACAGTCCTCACTCATGTCATGACAGTCAAGTCGTTTCATGTTTCCGGTCATCTCCTCCGTCACCATTTTTAGCCGTCTAAGAGAGAGTGACGGCCATCAGCCCTTTACAACCCTCAACTGACAATCGCATTAGATGAGGAGCATCCTCCTCAGCCTCTCTGTGATTACCTGATTGCACCGACCTTCACTACACTGCATGGCTAATTAAGTGATGCAAAGTGATTCCCCCTGCAGTAAAAAAGATGTTTCATCTGTTTACAACACTTTGATGGCCTGGTTGTCTTTCACTTTACAGCAGTTTGGGCGATATGAGACTTAAAAAGTCAATGTTGACCGTCCATAATGCAGGTCATTATGTCGCTGCTGATGATACTCAGCACGACATTTCAGCTCGATCATTGACAGTGGAGGTCTCTACTTAGGATGTCCATGAAATGATATTATCTTTGGTTGGAGACATGCTGTATGGTGGCAGAAACCTTATTGGGAGCTGACAAGCATTTTCCTATAAGGTCACATCTAAAGTGGTAAGGGAAATGCACATAAATGGAATATATCCTGTTTATTGGAAGCATACTAAAAACCTCTGTTGTTTTCCAGGTTGAGCACTTGTTTATTTGCACAGTGAAGAGTCTGCATTGGTGATCTAAGTATTATATTAGTATTATTATTATTATGATAGAGCACCTCAAGCAATAAGCACAAAGTATTTTTCAAAGATGAGAAAATTCAGACATGATAAACATTAAGGACAATTTCAAGAGGTAACACACGCACAACACACACACACACACACACACACACAACTCTCAACATTAGAAAATAAAGGCTGGCAGAAGTGTAGTCTATCAGCTGAGGAGCCAGTACTGCAAAGGCTGGATCACCCTTTGTTTTTAACCTGCAATAGTTAGAAGACCCAGACTAGCTAAACATAAACATACAGTATGCTAAAGACTGAGCATGAAAGTTCATTCTTAACGCTGGAAATAGTAGTAGACAGAGTAGAGATTTTCAGCATTATCACACTCTGCTAAAAGTGCCAGGACTTAAATTATAACAGCTACGGAGCATGTCAGGCAAAATTTTTTGTGAGTATTGTTTGAAAATGTACAAGCAGCATGACTTCATCAATTTGAAGTCCTGTAAACCCATGCAGGCTTGGCATACTTGTATGCATGACACCATGATAGGAAATTCATTAATTTACTTGTTCATTGTCAACAGATTAATCTCTATGATAACTCTGCAAATGTAATATGGACAAAAGCTCCAAAACAAGCCAGTAAGGTGTGTTTATCATGCCGCATCAGCAGACACAGGCTTATTAATTTTGCCTGAATATGCTGGCTATGTTCCATAGATGGTTTCTGCCATCATTCTAAAAAAGCTGTAACATGATATTTGGTCTTTGTCCTAGTTATTACTGCACATGCTGAATTTTACAAATTTCAACAAGTAACAAATGGTGAGTTTTGCTGTCACAGAATGTTGCTGAGTGTGTTCAAGTGTTCTGAATAAGAAATGAATAAGTTCAATAAAGATGTAAGCATTTATTTTTGTTAACATCTAACAATTACAGCTCCTGATGAGCTGTGTGCATTGATGGCTGTAATCAGAGCTACAATTTCTTTTGTCATCATGACCTCAGTTTTGTCGGACTGCTCTGATTACTGACTCACTGACCTGGAGAGGCAAAGATGACCTATAGATTTACGATGACCCTAAATGGCCCTAAATGACGTAGAATCACCAAGGTGAAGGATAGATTTGTTAAAGCTTTCCTCCAATCATGGTGGGAAGTTATTGGCTTCATAAAATTAAAAAGCTCCTACATGTTTTCCTTTTCAGCATCCAAACAGTTTGAAACTATGATTGAAACTCAGAGTTTTTTGACACTTGAAAGTCTTTTCAAGAGCCTCTTGCATGCGGTGAGGTCCACAAAGAAATGGTCTCCCCCATACATGATCTCTATGACTAGTTTTAAGATATTTTTTTAGTGTTTGCATATTTGTTTGTACATCATTGGCCAGCTGCGGACTGCCGACTGCCATTAATCCTTCTGTAATTTCACTCTTTGTATTTTAAGATAATTTCTTATGTGTTTAAATGAACAGTCTATGTGTTTTTACCATCTACATTTAAATGATGCTTACATGTTAATGCATCATTAATGCAATAATATAATATGTACTATTCTGAAGTGGGATATTTGTGTTTGTCACTGTGTATTTTTTTTGTGAATACAAGTGGACTTTTACTTAAGTAAAGTTTTAAATGCATCACTTTTACTTGTATCAGAAAATTTCTTACCTGTGTTATTGTTAGCTAATGTATATATTTGTCTGTGTCTATATTTTTACACTGCAATTCCCAAAAACCTTGAACTAAATCTTTTTAGTAAAAAATTGAACTTTATACTCAGTATGAAGCCAAACAGGCAGATGTGATGTATGCAGATAAAATCTGTCCTAATGAGATTGTTCATATCTCAAGGAGACATTCAGTCGCCCATTTCTCCCAGATCCAAACCTTACGACAAGAGCGACCAGATAAATGGATGAAACAGGCACAAACCTAATTGGCTCGGGAATACATCAGTGTGTGCGTCTTCAATCTATCTGAACCCAGCAGACTGAACACTGTCCTCCACAGCGTCCACCTGAGAGACAAGAGCCAGAGAGACACTCAGCTGTGTTTGCCATGTGAGCCGGCCGTCAGGTGTCTGCGTGTCATTGACTGACTGAGGGAATAATGGTGTAAAATTGCTGGCATAAAATGCTATAAAGCCAGCAAAAGTGCGTTGACACAGACTGCAGGACGGTATAATGTCAACAAAAGGCAAAGATTATGTGTGGTAGTCTAGTACGTTCAATAAAAACTCATCAATTGTCAAAACAGAGTATCAAATATTTTACCTAGCACTGACTGATAGTAATTAAAATTAAATTCTATTTTCTGATAAAGTTCACAAATTGCTTTACAAAGAATAAAAAATAAAAACACACAAACTAAACAATGAAAGCAAAGGCAAGCAAAACAGAAAGCAGCACTTTGTTACCTTTAAAACTATCAGAGAAAAGAGACGTTTCAATCAAGAGTTTATTAAAGTTATTAAAGCCTCACTGCACCTCACTGCACTCTCCCACACTGATATTCTTGAGCTGAGGCAAACAGCAGGGGCGTCATTGGAACATCAGCAGCAAAGTGCACAATTATTCGGCCAAGGTTATAGGCGACACGCATGTATGGTGGTAAAAATAAACCAACCTTTCATTTGGTCAAACAAAAATGTCATTTGTTTAGGGGAGATTATTATTTTTAAATGATGATGAAGTATTCTTCCGTAGATTTTTGGATGATGTCACTGGATTTTGCAGCTTATTAACATAATAATGGAACTAAAATTAGATATTGCAACTTAACACTTGTTGAAATGAAATATTAGCTCTTGACTTTAGTGTAATAACAAGCGAAGCCCCGTGGTCTACGTGTTTTACAATCCTTATCAGAGGAAGGTGACTGAATGTCATTTACCACATGGAATTTTAACTCATCGTTCTGTCTTACAGCACTTACAGAGTGTTGGACCAGGAGCTGTCGTCGAGGGTGAGGCCGTCACATGCGTCAGTCAGGAAGACACGGACATCCCGAATGAACAGAGCAGAGCAGCAGAAAAGAACAATTAATGACATCAGACTCACAGAAACAAGTAGAACAAGAAACACAACCTGAGCATCACTGATATTTAAAATAGTTTAAAATTGCTTTTAATATTAAGACTGTAACTACCACACTTACTCTACTTACTGTACTTAAGTACAAATTTGAAATTAGTAATTTAGATTTGATAAACAAAATACATGAAGAGCTTATAAAATATGATGCTTTGCTGTAGATTAAAACTACAGTCAGTGAATTGATTCGTCGACAGACTGAAAATTAATTGGCTAAAACTCATTTGATAATTGAAAGCGATTCTTCATGTAAAATGCCAAACATTTCAGCTCAAACGTGAGAATTTGCTCATTTTCTTTTGAATTATTATAATTATTTTATTTCATTAGATGTTTAGTCCAACCATTGGACTCTTTTTTTTACAGTCAGTCAAACCATAGAGAAAATAATCAGCAGATTAATACTTACAAATAATAATTGAATTTAATCTAAATGGTATATCATACACAGTAATACAACTATCAGTCACGTGAACTATTTACTTTTCAAACTTTCAATTTTCCAAGTACTTCTAATGCTTTAAGTACATTTTCCCAATTATACTTTCACACTTTTACTTCAGTAACATTGTCAATACAAGACATTTACTTGTAACATAATATTTTCACAGTGTAGTATTAACACTTATACTTAAGTAAAGCATCAGAATATTTCTTCCACCAGTGAATGTTAACGGCCCAATCAGTGATTTAAAATACATAAGTTACATAAATAGCTCACTGGTATACTCACACAAATACATGTAACTCAACATTTTGTATGTTTCTCAACAACTGTGTAAATATGGTTATGCAAACAAAATATTTTGTAGACACATTTATGTAACAGGTATGTAAATACATGAATCTGTGAGGAGGTGTAACACCAACACAAAATGGCTCATTAAATGTGTTTTCAGGCCATTGAACCTTCATCCTTTTTCCTCTCCACTGCGTCTGCCTTTTCCTTTCACAATAAATGTATCCTGTTTTCAATCCAGAATTGACCGTACATGACCATATACAGCTGAGTTTGACTTGGATGGAAATTGTCACTGCTTTCAAAATTCAACGCAAGAACATCCTGTCTGTTTTAATCCTAATCCTGTCGGTTATAATCATCAACTTCAAAAAGCATTGCATTGCATTGTGGGAGGCAAAAGATTTTAAGTGCAGTGTCAGTGAAAATCACTAGAGGACAGATTTTCACACTCAGTTGCAGCAGCTGTAGGTGAACATTAACATATGTACAAATCATTTTGGAGAGAAAGAGTGAGTTGAGTATATATATATATATATATATATATATATTGCCTTTTGTTTCTGAACATGAATGAGGAGACCAGTCCCGGCAGTGTGGCCTAGAAAGTTTAAAGCTTGATTTAAAGCTTGATTTAGAGATGTATGAGAAAAAGAAAATGCCTTTGAAACCTCTAGCTCCACCTGCTGAACATAGAGGTAATGGTCATGCTGACTGGTAAACAGTAATTTTTCTAGAGCTGTCCTTAACTTAACCCACTTTCATAATAATTTAGCTTCCCTTGTGTAGTTGTATACCTGGAGAGGAAGCAGGAATGGGTGAAGAGACGATGAGGAGAGAAAACCTAAAGTTAAGAGAAGGAGAGAGGAGGACAGTATATGATGAAGAACCAGGAGGAGAGCGGTGGTGAACAGGTGAGAAGAGGATAGAGGAGGACAGAGGAGAAAGTCTTGATTTGAAGAGTGAAGAAGAGAGTAGAACGGGAGGAGTGAAAGAGAAAGGGAGGAAAAGAATGAAGGAGAGAAGAGGGACAGGTATGGAGGTATAAAACATAATTTTTGCCTCTTTTTATGTGGCAGTAATGAAAATTAATCATTGTTGAAATTTGTTGTGTTGTGGTTTCAGAATGATGGAGACCGAGAACGTCAGATTCAAAATATGATGCAGGCTCTGGATGACTTTTGGGCAACTATCATGTTTTCCTCAAATGATGTACAGATGGACTGATCCAGAAAATAGCGCATGTGGCTGCTGAATGGAGGAAAAAAATTACCTGGGGGAGCATGTCCCCTGAATACAGACTTAAGTTGGGGCTAAGCCTGGCATGTTTACAATGTCTGGCCCCGCCCCTACACACCAACCTGTAGTTTCTGGAGTCACAGTGACCACAGACCCACTCAGGAGGTCCTGAGGATTTGAAACTGTAGAGGGAGGCCGAGACGTGAAGCAAAGATACTGTGTGAGGTGAGACGGACAGGTGCATGCAGGAAAACAGGAAGTTAGTTATTGAAGTTTAGCCCTGCACTTCTCATCAGCAACAAAGGCTGCAGCAGCTGTGACACAGCTCCTGGAGGCCTCGGCAGACTGCTTAAAAATACTTACTGCCGCAATTTGTGTCATTACTCTGAACACACATGATCCAGATATATTTTTAGTTTCGGTGTGATTTACATCTACACTTAGAAATCATGAGGGAAAAAAAGGCACTGACTCCATAACTTACCTGAGAATTATCGGGGTTTTAGGTTTTCTACAATATCAACATATTATATTGATAGTTGTCATCCACTGGTTCATAGCAAATAGGAACTTTTAATAGCGAATTCGGTGTTCTTCATTTTCCAAAATGTCAACAAATATGGGTTATAAGAAGAGGTTATGAGTCAACAGCGTAACCGACTCCTCCAGTCCTGCAGGTGGCGCTGTGACCTAAAAGCTACGAGTGTCCCTGCGCGGCGGAGGAAGACTGCAACATGGTGTAGGGACCAGGGAGGGACCTTGGATGTTTTGCAGCTTGTCAACTTTATAGACATGTCACTATTTGTTCAGTTACTCAGATAACCACCTCGGAACAACAGACACCAGTTATCGACTTTAAGGTGAGTCTCCCAGGTTCTGCGTACGTACGTACGTTGTAGCTTGCTAACTGAGGAAGCGAGCCTTAGCTATATAAAGTGAATCAGGGCAGGCTTTGCTAACATGCATCTCTGAATTGTCAGTCATGTGCACATTTTCTGAATCCACTGCTTTCATTTAATACATCTGTGGATAGTTCAAACGACTAAACTGATACCTGCAGGAAGCGACTGAGTTGTGACGACCTTGGCTTCACTTGTTCTGTAGTTGCATGCTGGGACTACAATTTACTGTAGGTTCCTATAAGTCAGCAATTCCTGCAGATAAAATGCATTTGTCACTGTGGTAAGAGAATCGTTCAGATTTTTCACTTAAGTAAAAGCAGTAGTTATATCTGCATATAAAAATACTCCATCATATATATAAAGGATTTAAAATCATATTTATATAATAGTGTATTAGTGATATCACAAGCACATAAGGATAAAACTTAAAATAATCATAATGCAAAATGTCCTAGTTCACCATGTTGTTTATAGAATTGCGTTAAATGGAAAAACATAAGTAAAGTACCTCATATTTGTGTTTAAGTAAAGTACCTAAGTAAAGTAGTCAACTTACTTTGCAGCAGTGATTTTAGGACTGCAACAATGCATTATTTTCATTATTGATTAAATTGCCAGTTATTTTTGTGAGTAATTGAATAATTGTTTAGTTTATAAGAAGTCTGATGAAAGTGAAAAATGCCCATCTCGTTTTCCCTCAGTTGAAAATTATGTCTTCAAAATACTTGTCTTATTTGACAAACAGTCCAGATTCAAGGATATCTACATTCATTGTCCAGTTTATTGAGGACACTTAAGCTAAATCTTCCCTTCGTGAGGGTTGTAATGTTCAGTTTTTATTGTAAGTGTTTTAGAGAGGTGTTGATTCAACTGTGTGGTTATTTTGGAGGACATAGTTAGTGGTGCCGTTGAATTGTGTTGTATTGTATTGATGGGTGTTTCTAATATTTTGTCCACCCCATTTATATCAATGAGGTAGGGGTAAAATATGAAAATTGTTGATTCAACTAAATATTTCAGCTCAGCTCTTGTTTCATCTATTCTGCGAAACAGCAGTACATCTGGATCTACCATGGAGCCTGTCATGCATCAGGTTTGGCCGAGAGTCCTCCAGCGCCTCCGCAGAACTCTAATTCTTTCAAAGAGGAACCATTCAGGCTGTGCTGAGCACACCGCCGTTCCTGCCTCCACTCATTCCAGACATATCAGACCCACACTCCTGGTGTCACGTATCTACCAGCCGACAAGCCTGCGCGATGTGGGGCAGGAGAGCCGACAAGGAGAGATGACCTGTAAGAGTCAGAGGCTCATGCAGCAGGCTGGGCTCATCCATCCATCCAACCCAGGGTGTTACTACTACCTTCCTGCCACTGTCCGCTCCATGGAGAAGCTGGTGAGGCAACATGTTTATTTTGGCATAGGAATGATAAAGGTCAAGGAGGGTCATCTTGTGGTGCCATGTCCACAAAGACAGTGTATATGGTCTCATTTTTGTTCCATAAAATGTAATAGCTGCTGTCCTTAATCAAAAGGTGAGAGTGATTGACCAAGAGATGCACGGGATCGGTGGGCAGAAGCTGGACATGCCCAGTTTGTGCTCGGCTGATCTCTGGAAGACCAGCGAGCGCTGGGACTTGATGGGAAAGGAGCTGCTCCGTCTGAAAGACCGCCACGGAGTCGACTACTGTTTGGGTCCCACACATGAGGAGGCAGTGACAACTCTGGTTGCTCACCAGGCACACCTCTCCTACAAACAGCTCCCTCTGCTTCTCTATCAGGTAAGCGTTCAGCCCCGTTGTTATCACTAGTGTGTTTGTTGGAAGTAAGCTGCAGTTTTACATCAAGGTTTATTTTGTATAAAACAGATTACCCGCAAATTCAGGGATGAACCGAAGCCGAGGTTTGGTCTTCTTCGAGGGAGGGAGTTCTACATGAAGGACATGTACTCATTTGATGTGAGTGAGGAAGCAGCTTATCAGACCTATGAATCTGTGTGCCAAGCATACACTCGGCTCTTTGCCCGGCTGGGCCTGCGTTGCGTTCAGGTGCAGGCAGATACAGGAAATATCGGAGGTAAACTCTCCCATGAGTTCCAGCTGCCAGCTGACATCGGTGAGGACCGGCTTCTGGTCTGTGGGGACTGCTCCTTCTCTGCTAATGTAGAGACCATGTCATCAGACAGAACTGACTGCCCACAGTGTAAGACAGGCACACTGGTAGAGTCGAGGGGCATAGAGGTCGGCCACACCTTTTACCTGGGGAAAAAGTACTCTCAAGTATTCAATGCCACCTTCAGTAATGCTCAGAACAAGCCTAGTGTTGCTGAAATGGGCTGCTATGGTCTTGGAGTAACCCGTATTCTTGCTGCAGCCATTGAGGTGATGTCAACAGAGGAGGGCATCCGCTGGCCAGGGCTTCTCGCCCCCTACCAGGTTTGTGTTTTACCGCCAAAGAAGGGCAGTAAAATGGATGAGGTGGCAGTCTTAGCTGACAACCTGGTTCACACTTTGGGAGAGGCTCTGCCTGGTTTGAGAGGTGAAGTGGTTCTTGATGACCGTACACAGATGACCATTGGAAAGAGACTGAAGGACGCCAGCAGACTGGGCTACCCATATGTTATTGTAGTAGGGCAGGGCGCTTTAGAGGAAACACCCAGGTTTGAGGTGATCTGTCAGCAGACAGGTGAAACGATGTTTCTCGGTCAAGATGGACTGTTGGATCTACTGGGAAGAGTGGAAACTGTATGAATTGCAACACAACTCTGAATGTGGAAATAAGTGCTCGTCTGTAAGCAAGTAAAATATGTGTGATTCTATCAGTGAGGTGGTGGGAGGATAAAAGCCTTGTATGTTATTTTAAAGTTTTGTCTTGTGTCAGTAAGGGGACTGGAAGGCTTTTTCCTGGTTCTGTATTTTGGTTTACAAAGTTTTAAAACCAGAATTTACAAACTTGTTGGCATTGCTGATTGGAATTAACTTACTGTCACAACAAAAGCTTTGTAATGGACCTTAGGATATGGAATTACGCTCTGTTTCTGTGATGTAAGAATGTCACAGTTTTATGGTTTTGTGGCCTTTCATGTTCCCATACCAATAAAAACATAAACCCACAGATGTGAACCGAAATGATGACCATTTGATATTGTGTTTTAATATGCATTTGCATGTGTAACATAGAAATGCTGCCATAATACAACTCAATGCTGGTATTTGGTAAATGCTGTAAATACAATCATATCATGGAGGTCAAGGAAAAGCAAAAACTAAATTACCACACTGTTAGACGATATACTCAGGTTACCCTTATAGCTTGGTTAACAGATTCTTGTTGCTTGCCTCATTTTGTATTTTATTGTTTAAAATAATAAATTGGCAGGCTCTGTATTAATTTCTTTCATCCTCTATCTGCTTCACTCTCTTCCTATACAGTCTTCTCTACTCTTCCTAATGGGTTTAAAGCAAAAAAGAAAAAAAAATATTCTGACTGAATTTTTTTCTTACAGATTTCCCATCTACTATTTGTAAAACAAGTTACAGAGGCAGCCCAAGTTAGCCTTCATCGCTTGCTGGACCGACAACATCCAAATGTGATGTCACAATATACTACCGGCCTCATAGACTGTATTTATATACAACCGGATTCACAGTTCACAGTTAAAAATGGGGACAGCTCCAGCCGGGGACAAATGTTCTGACACTTCGATATGAAAATGCGACATTGTAAGAAAAAGTCCCGTATTCAGACTTTTGCGTATTTACAATCATTGAAATTTAAAGAGCTCAGCTCATTATGTTTGTCACGTTTTAAATTTGTATCCTTATTCATAAATGTTGCCGGTCAGTTAATTTCAACTACGCTATATTCTGTTGAGCAGTTGAATCTGTAACAAGTCATCATATTTCTTGAATTAATTACACGTTTTGTACAGAAAGATCCTACATGCGAACCAGTCTAGTATCTATAGTTATTACGCTTGCCTTTAAATTGTACTTAACCATACTATGGTAAACGTATTCAGTTATTTTTCCTCCCTCTCGGTTTAAACACAATATTTTATAGTCATTCTCTCTGGTCCTGAAGGAAGTGGAACCAGTGTAACAGTACGCTGTTTCTGCACGGATAGTTATCTGTGTAGCACCGGTTGTGCACACGCGTAAACAAGGACCTGGGTAACTTGTATAATAAGAAACGTTGTTACATGTAATGTGTTAGAGCCGGAAACCTGTCGTACTTTATTTAAGACAAAAAAGGGCAAACAACAGAAAATGGCGTCTTCAGCGTTGCAAAGTGACAGCGATGACGGCATGGACGAATTTATGGACAAATTCAAGACCCAGAGATATAAACATGGCTTCAGTGAAGACGGCTGGGAAGAGGTAACGTTGATAAGTAGAAACTATCGGCTGTCAATGTTAGCCAGAAAGTTATTTCTATGTTAAATGAGATGTTACAACCTCCATGTCGTTGTTGTCATTAGCCATTGAGCTAAGAGGCAACGTTTCTGTTCATCCACAGTGACTTCTCTGTTTCTGTCTCACCCAGGAGTTTAATAAAATACCCATGTTCATGAAAACAGCACCCGAAGAGATTGACCCACAAAAATACCCCGAGCTAGCTTGTCTCCAGGCCATTATCCACGATGAAGACAGGCCCCCGGAGGGTAAGCAGACCACAGCTTTAAGCTCCTTCCGCTTACGAAACGCCTGTTGGGTGTCGTCTCTCTAAATTTTAGAAACTGTTAATGATTGAATTTATTCCTCCTCCAGAGCAAGCACAGAGCCTGAAAAATGAGGGGAATGCGTTTTTCAAAGAGAAGAACTACCAAAAGGCCATACTGTCCTACACAGCAGGTCTGAAGAAGAAATATGAAGACCAGGAGCTCAGCACTGTTCTTCTCACCAACCGGGCTGCAGCACACTTTTATCTGGGTTGGGATTTCTTATTTACATGCCATACAGATTTATAGGACATACATGCATTGCTAGCACCAGGGATGTGGATTGTTATACATATTGCTCACTAAAATTGACATTTATTTTCCATGTAAAAAACAAAGCCTATGTGTCTTGCTTAATTTGACACAGGTAACATGCGCTCTGCACTGAACGATGCTGCGGCAGCAAGGAAGATCAAACCAGATCACCTCAAAGCCTTGATCAGAGGTGTGTATCATACATACAGTACATACAGATTTTTCATCTGTAATAGTCTCCACCATGTACATAACAATGGCAATGTTTCATTTATATCGTTGCAGTTGTCTTTTTAGTGTCTTTGGGTGAATTAGATCGTTGTGGTGTCACTGAGAACTTTTATTTTGTTTTATGTCAATATTGAATTTTTCTATGTTAGAATTGCTGGTTTCTGAGCACTGAACTTTTCTCCATGTCAGTTGAGATTTATAACTCATTCTTTCTTAGTGCAATATGTATCAATGGAGTTTTATAAAGTTATATAGTATAAAGTTATACCACGACAGAGGAATTTAGCCATATTAGTCACTCCTCTCACACTGCATAGCAATCATACAATAATGTAAGAGTATAACCATGTTTAAATATGTGAATGTAAATACATTGCATGTGTTTATGCAGGAGCCCAGTGTTGTATAGAGCTGCGTAACTTCTCAGAGGCCATCCAGTGGTGTGATGAAGGCCTTAAAGTACATCCCACCGACAAGAAACTGCAGGAGCTCAGAGCTGCTGCAGATAAACACAAGGTACAGTCACTACTGAGTTCACCTGACTTTGAGCTGAAGGCTTTAAAGGGAGGGTGTATTGCATTGTGGGCAATGTGTATTATTTTCTGTATTATTTTAACACTAATTTCAGACATGCACAAACTAAACCCCGTTAATGTTTCGTTCCTTAGAGAGCTGCAGAGAGAGATGCCAGGAAAGCCAAGGCCAAAGAAAAAAAGTTGCACGGTGAGAAAGAAGCTCTTCTGGCTGCTATAAAGGTAGGCATCCTATTTCAAACTGAGAGGGAAATACAACTCTAATCTTGATCTTTGTTAACCCTTTCGCTCCTACTTCTACTAACTACAAGAATGTGAATTATTTACAAAAAAACATTGCAATGAGTAAAAATAACAGAGGCACCTATTCAGCCAAGTCTTTACAGTCTATTTCCCCACTAAGTAGAATGGCTCAGAACCAAACTTTGATGATTACATGTTGATTGCCATAATAACACACAAGGAGTGATCATAAGCAAGCAGTATAATTCATTCAGGACATTTGTATTTGAAAATAATGATACCTGAAACACTAAGTCAAATCTGACACTAATTCTGTCTCTATGTAATCACGGTGTAGGACCTGACTGCAGAGCCTGGGCCTGTTTTTCTGTAGTGATTATCAGGGTTACACATTTTTGTGTGCTTTACACAGGAACGAGGTATCAAGCTTCTTCAGCCTGCAAAGCCTCGTCAGTGTGGATCAGACAATGAGGATGAGGATGAGGATGAAGGCTCCTCTGCAGTGATTTCACAGCTGAGCCTGGACGGCCTCAGCTCCCAGGAGGCCACAGGGGCTCGAGTCTTCTTGGACGAGCAGGGCTCTCTGCACTGGCCTGTTCTCTTCCTGTATCCTGAACACCAACAGAGTGATTTCATCTCGGCTTTCTGTGAGAGCAACTGGTAAGCTCCGCTTGTTCTGTTTTTCTAGTCTAGACTGTGTTTTGATGATGTGTTTTGATAGGGAGTGTTTCTCTGCTTTTTACATAAACAAGATTTACCTGAGTTTTCTGTAGGAATTGTTAGTGATGATAACACATACCTTTTTTACATCAAAATTAGCGGGTATAAGCTAATAAGTTTTATTAGTTTTAGTTTTATTTTAAAAACATGGGTAAACCCGCTATAAAAACCCGTTTTAATCCTTCTACACTGCCAGCTGAGTTTGTCTCTCTGTTCAGAGAGGACACACACAACTTCAGGAAGCAATGTCATCACATGCACTTACAGAGCACACACACACACACACACACACACACAGATGCACGGGAGGAAGACTGAACTGGTAAAATGTGTGGCCACAGGGATCTCTGTTTAAGAAAAAGTTACATAGCCTTTCCTTAATGCTTAGAAATCCTTAGTTTAATATCCTTAATACAGGAATAAAAGAAATTTTCTATAAAATACTTGTTTAAATACAACATTAATAAGTGAGGAGTTTATTTTTATTAAATCACAGAAAATGAGTCATGTATCTTTCCATTTGTCTTGACTTGTCCAGTTTCGTGGACCACCTGGCAGTCATGTTTGGAGAAGAACTCCCACCTTGGGACTCAGACCGAAAATACCACCCACAAAATCTGCAGGTTTGTATGTTTAGCATCATTGAGTAGTTCTGTCACACACAGAATATAATTTTTTTTTAAATGTTTTCCTTGTGGCTTGTTACCATGAGAAATGTCAGGAATAATTCATTGTTGTTTTCCTGTGCATTCATAAACTTATTTTTTCTCACAAACCATAGCAGGACTACATTATTTCTGATTCTGATGAACTGAATACATTAATCAGTAAATTCAGTTACAGTTATCTTTTATATTATGTAGATAAACAATTCAGCTACTGGTTTCTGATAATTACAAATAATAAATAGTCAAGAGTAAAACTGTCAAACAAGGATTATATTACATTACCAAAAACAGTGAAGTTATGTCAAATAATATTTGAGCCATTTTTGAGCGTTTTTTAAAATATCTTATTTATTTATTTCCTAATTAACCACATTTGAACTTTCCTCACTTGCTAGCTCTACTTTGAGGATGAAGAGAAGGAGACACTCTACCAAGTAAACCCAGAGACGCCACTTTTAAAAGTGCTGCAGCATAAAAGGTAAACCCATTGAGATAAAGACGTGTTTCCATAAAGTGTGTTTTCATTTTCATTGATACCATGGCCACTATGAGTGCTTAATTTTAATTAGCTGGCAGCTGTCCAATACCCAATTTTGGGTATTAAAGCAAAGCAATATCTTGATTATTGTAGTTATTATTAAAACCCAAATTGGTCTTTTAGTGATGCCTGAGTTTAAAAAGGTGGCCATGTTGTTATTTAGACTAAGTAGTCAGTCTGTTCCTTGTATTATCTGTAATTGTGTCTTTGTGTCACAGCTTCGGTACATTCGCTTACATCACACTCTTAATGTTGATTTGCTGTCTGTTTTGTTCTGATTACAGGTGTTTTGTTAAGGCAGGCAGCCCCAGCTTCATTGTTCTGGTAAATGGCTCAGCTTTCAGGAAGCAGTTTTTAACAGGAAAAAAAATACAAGGATTGTAAAAAAAAAAACAAAAAACGACGGCCTTCAAATCTTGGACTTTTAATACATAATACATGATTCTCATTTCTACCCCTAAAGACTGACTTTGTCTTTGAAAAAGACGCCAGGGCAAATATTTATCCTGTGCCCAAGAGCTTGGCACACAGTATGACAACAAAATGAATGCAAAATAAATGGGTTCTTCAAAAGTTATCCATGTGGGTTCTTTGCGTCTGTTCAGAGATAAAACTCATCTGAAAACAATGCAATTTATTCAGGATCTCAATAATATTAATCAACATAAACAAGTGATTTAAGTGCTTGTAAGTAAACATCAAAAAAATGTTTTGACATTTAAAATACTAGTGAATCTCTTCCTAAACAGTGCAGTTTGTCCCTTAGTCTGGTGCTACATATCTCAGAGTTGGTCAACAAGAAAAGCAACTTAATCTTAAATTCATCTTTGTTATAATTTGGATTTAATATTTAAATGAATTTCCTCAGACATGGTTTACAAAGGACTGAGTGGAAAGTGAAAGTGAGAGGTGTGACTACTTTTTGCTTTTTGACAAGGAAGTTTTGTGACTTCTACCAGGAATAATGAGTAATGATACTTAACATACCATACCGATGACTAATGCGCGTCTCTTTCAGTATTTGATGCCGCAGTCAGTGTTCAGAAAGCAGCTTTTCTAGCTTGGTCAGGTCAGTGTGGTTTCCTGTACTGGTGATATGCTACAGTTCATTACAATAAACCACCCAGCATGGCATAAGCTGCCTAAAGCTATGTTTGTGTCAAGGTCTGTGTTGTCAGTGTAATTTCATAAACTAATCAATAAGATGCTCTTGCCAAGTCGTGTCGTTTTGTGACAAACCAAGTATGTTCGGTTTACCCCAGAAAGAGGGTTCACCTGCCATCATCAGACTTGCCTGTAATACACAGGCATTTTACATAGTCGTAAAAAAGAAATTGGGCCAAACAAAAGAACGACACGTTAGTGATTTCCTTTAGTTTCCTTATACTTTGACTTTTCTCTTAGGTATGACCAAAATTCAAGAGCGGTTTAGATTTGTTGTACCAGTCACATACAGTTTGTCTTTGCCATCAGTGGGAAAACCTCTCACTTTGACCTGAAATCATAATGCTTTAACCTGAATGAATTTTGAGCTTATATATAAAACACCAAAATGAACTAAAATAAAATGTATATCTAACACAAACATGATGCAAAGTTAATGTTATCTTCACAAAATCATCATCATCATCATCATCATCATCATCATCATCATCATCATCATCATCATCATCATCATCATGGCTTGACAATTTACTGAGAAATGATAACATCTCATAAAGGCACACCTCATGAAAAGATGTCACTCGTCAGGTTGAAATGAGACAAGAGAGTTTGGTGTGTCTGACTTGAAACACTCGTACAAGTAAGCCTAACAAAAAAAGTATTATATTTAGGATAAGAACTCACAAATGAGGCCTGGTGTGTGGTTTTGATTTACCATTTTTCAATGATGCCATTGGATGTTTAAGAGAACTCGTATTGGTCTGATTGAATTGACACCAAATTTTGCACTCTTAATGTAAGATTTATTTTATTTATTTTAACTGGGATGAAATTACTATAATTACCTAAAATTAATCATATTATAGAATCATTGATATGTTTGATTACTGTAATTAGTCTCGTGTGTGATTACTGTTAAGAAACACAAAAGAATTCAGCATATTGTGTTGCTACAGGAAACATTTCAAAATGATTACATCACAGCTAGAAACAGCAGCAGAACCCGAGCTAAATAAAAATTCTGTCTTAAGACAAATCAGTACAATGAGAAGCCGCCAATGTCATTATGAAGTCATTATGACCCGTTGTTGCCCAATAACGACAGCAGGAGCTGTGTTTACAGGAGCCATCATCACTGGAGCAGGCTGCACATTGACAGTGATAGTGTTTTTCTTGCGATATTTTAGCTCACGATGCATCTGACACCAGACACACGACACACAGAAGCAGGAAGCTATGATGTCCTTGCAGATAGAACCCTGCGGAGACCAAAGTATAGAAATACGTAAAGTTTGAAATCCAACATTACCTCACTTTTACTCAACGCGTCACGTGAAATTCACTGTGCAGCTTTACATGCATCATACCTTGATATTGTATCTGTTTCTAAGGGACGCCCGTAGAGCCACAGATGCAGGAGGAACAAATAAAGGTATCCCACAGGCTGACATCACAGCAGGGCTGCACAAGTCACATAACGGGAGACAGCGATTCTCTCCAAATCTTTCCGAAACTGTGCAGGCAAGGCAAGGGCAGCACCAGAAACCATAGCAGCCTAAAAAAGACACACAGAGGTTTAGCAACAGAGTGAGACCAACTCTCTCAAATGATTTGGTATTGAATTTAATCCAGAAATGACAAGTTTGTGGTATTGATCCTTACAAGTACTAATGCTCTCGAAGCAGTCACAGAGTCCACTGTTCCATTCTGTCTGCTGTATTGATATTGCCATTGTATGTTGAACTTCAGCCACAGACTGTGAATAATGAACCTACATGGAGTATTAAAAAAAAACAGCAACTCAGAAACAGGTAAATCGATAGCATAACAGGAAGCTCTTATCTTGTGACACCTTTGGAGCACCTTTTTTGCAAAACTGGCTCATGAGATCCAGACCTTTCACCGCCTTGATTTCAATCCATGTAAAAGCATATATTTTTGTACTAGATTGCAGCTTTTTCTTTTCTGTTTATGTGTAAAATGGTGAGATGATATTTATCAGGAAATGAGAGTACTACAACAGCCTCCAGTTTGACAGTTTCTTGTTAGCTGTGACCTTCACCCACAGCAATCATGTGTTGATTTAATACACTTTGTTTAGCCTCAACACTTTAACACCTGCAGTATAACAGGCAAGACTTACAGGCACAGACTTACAACATATCAGATAATAAGTACTTGATTTTCTTACTTATGCTTCTGGTTCACTACATTCATCTGACAGCCAGAATTGCAAATTACTCTACGGATTAAGATTTTCCAGATTAAACATATGAAGATCTGAAAAACATTATGTTTGGTTAAAGATTAAATTACAGAACTGTAAAATACAAGTAAAACTTAAACCATTAGTCTATTAATCAATTTGTCAGTTGACAGAAAATTAATGGAAATCATTTCGCAATCATCAATTTACATGAAAAAAATTGCAAAATATTTAATGGTTACAGCTTCTCAAATGTGAGGATTTGTAGCATTTTTCTTCACAAAACTCACCAAACAAACAAACAAACAAACAAACACACACATAACTAGCAGAGAAATAACATGAGTTACTATGTCTTTTTAAAACTATAGTTAATTTTTGAAAGAATATAAAAAACATTAATGTTACTGTATTTTACAGGACTCAAAATAATAAACCATAAGAATGTAGTGCACCAGATTTGCACCACTGCAGACAGGTAACCAGATTCCTTTAGATACAGCTCTACAGAAAATGAAAGTGTCCCCAAGAGCAACAGAATCATGAGTTCTCCCTCTTTGGATCGATCACTTTGATATTTTTGATTGTGTTTTCTGCATTCATTATACAGTGGATGGTTAGAATCCCTTCATCCCAATTATATCCTCATACAAGCATATTCCATTAACACTGGTAAGTCCCTTAGCCGCTAGGTTACATAGTATGCTCCTAAAACAGTGGTAACAATTTGAAAAAAGCAGGATGCCTGTTTTCCTGGTGAGGTTAATGTATATTGTCAACAGCTGCTGTAAAATCACTAAATGTGGTCTGTGGTCAGCATAGGTTTTCTCTCAGATTTCATTCACTGTTAGGATAAAGATGTAAGTAGTCTTACCTGAATTAACTGCACACGTTCTCGGAACCTCGGGATGCTGTGAAAGAATGAAAGGATATGCCTTGAATATGAGTGACCTGTTGGTATGTCAAGTACAAACAATGCTGCAAAACCTGAATCTCTTTACAGAGAGAACTGAAATCAAAAGTACATTCTAAAAATAGAAAGTCAATTATCTTGTAATTCGTACTTTACGGAACTTTTTGTAGTATATTTGTCTTTTGTGGTCGCTATTTGCCCTTCAAACAAATTTAATCCAGCATAACAATCAAAAGGCCAAAGAATACAAAGGTCAAAAGAAGTCATTGTCCAAACAAAGCCATTTTATCTTCCTTTTGATTTATTCATCCAAACAAGCAAGTAAAGGGATCATGTTTCCTGCTGCCTCTCTTGCTGTGGTAAAAAACCATAGGCACACTCAGGTGCATGCTGGTCCTTAAAGTTCCTGTGCAGGAAGTTAGAAAATTTTTGATTGTGGGTCCATCCAAGTGATAGTATCAGAAAAGACACTGTAGCAGGCGTTCACAAAGCTATGCATGTTGTGTTTCCCTATTTAACTTCTGATGACAAGAACTTGACCAATAAAGTCAACAGGTTGCGACAAGAACATCCTTTAAGCTTGGAGGTTTTCATCGGTGTGACTTAGTTTCTGACATTTGATGACAGTTAAGACCTTGTGAACACAAAACTCTTCTCCTGCCAGTTTACAGGAGCAACATGGTCTCACCATGGATATCTGGGTCTCTTGTTATCATTGATGGAGGAGTGTTGTGCAGTAACGTGTTACCCTCTAATATTCACATGGTATAATAGAAAGATAAAAAAAAATTTATGTTAAAAACGTCTACTCACATAAAAGTCAGGGGGCTCTACTTTACCAGTCCAAAACGCATATAAAGCTCATGGCGCAAGTGTATTTAGGGTGTGTCCACATCCACTTTTGCTGTCAACAGCGGAAAAACGGTCTCTGTGCCAGGCGCATAGTTCAACGGGGTTGTGCTCTTATACCTGGGAGTGTTTTGCGCGTGATATCCAATAAATCAATCAGAGTGCCATCACTCATTCCCTTTAAAAGCCAAGCGCCGATTGCTCTTAAAATGGCTCAGTGTTTTCACACAGAATTAGAATCTATTTGTGGTGAGATGATTATATATTGTGACTGTCCAGTGCGCACCACTTGTGGCACAGGCAAGCAGCAGCTCTGTGCGTCCTGCGAGGGAAGGGCTGAGCGAATCGTTGCGCTGAGCACACAGCTCTACAACCGCATCAACAACACAAATCACAACGTTAGACATCTTATACGCTATATCATGAGAAGTGTCAATAACTGTTCGGTTCACCATGAAACTGCTGGGACAAAGTTAGTCCGGGTGATGAATGGGAAACACTGGTGGATTTACCAGGTAGTAAGAAAGAAAGCTCCTTTGCAGAGCCTCGTTTATGTCCAAGAGCCATCCATGACGCATGGCAGTGTTATGCAACATGACACAATATGTTCACAAAGTACGACCTTCTGAGGGCTGTACTCTAATGTATAAATGAGCCTATAATGTAAACTCGACTTCTCTAAACATCTGAAGCGTACTTAGCTAGTTTCAGACCGACGCAGTTGTCATTTTCCCGTCCAGCGCCCACGTTGTTTTTATAGCAAAGACACTTTTGTTGCGCTTTGCCCCGGGTGTAAGATAGGGCCCGGGGCCTTGATACAGGTTTAATAAAATTCAAGCCCTTCTAGATCATAATAACCTGTAACATGATAGAAAAATAATCTGCAGCTGTTGTGATGATGAATTTATCCTTATGATGATTTTAGTGAAGTCATTATCTTTAGGTTTGGTATGATCAATAGTTGCAACCATTGTGCTATTTGATACTGTTGTATTTCAAATATATTGTGGTCAAAAATAGCAAAAAGTCAAGTTACACATATCAACAAAGTAAAAATTCAAGTGAATATTGAGTTGCATTGTATTGTGTTGCCTGTATTTCACATTAGAGCTGCAACCAGTGATTCATTTCATTGTTTACAGATCTGCAGTTTATTTTTTCAAACAATTTATCAATCATCTGATTAAAAAACACAGGAAAACTCTGATCTGTAACAGCCACATAAGCACTAGACACCAAGTAATCCCTCTCAGGGGAGAAGCATGAGTGCCGCAGAGGTACCATCACAAAGCACACAAAAAAGAGAGACAGAATGTCATCCTTCAGAAAGCCACCGGATACACCCAGTCACACAATGTTATGATGTAATTTCTTCAACATACATGTCAACAGTGTTTACACTGTTCTTTCATGCTCTCTTTCACATTCAAAGGAGCAATTGTTTCTTCTGAACTCAGTTTACAACAGTGGCTCACCTTTATTAAGGCAGATGAGTCATTTCTGTTTTTAATGCAAGAGGAACTGATCATGTATTCTCCCTCTCAGCCCCACACCTAGTCAAATAATGATCAGCTATTACAGTGAATCACCACAACATAGTCACACCACAGATAATTGATCTGAGCTAAATACAATTTCCTTCACAAGACAGAACAGGCCGCTGAGAAGCCGCAAAGCTCAGTATAAAGCCACGACAACACCGGACTGGCCCACAAAGCCCCCATGGGCTGGGTTCACAGGAGCCATCATCACTGGGGCTGGATGTTGATGACGACAGGGGAGTTTTTCTTGCGATCTTTTAACTCACGATGCATCTGGCACCAGGAGCACCACATACAGAAACAGGAAGTTGTGATGTCCTTACAGAGAGTACCCTGCAGAAAAACAAAGCACAAATGATATTCCACAGTTATTATTTAAAGTCCAGTTATGTTTAGTAATAATCAGAAAGGTTCAATGTCTACAGAGAACAATTAAAGGGATAGCTCCACATTTTTTTTTTGAAACAACCCTGACTTGGTTTGTCTGTATTCGCCTTATATTGATTATATTTTTCATAGAACAATGACCATGAATTTTGTCCCCCATTACTTCCACTGAAACTGCTTTATGGAGGGATGCTCTCCACTGCCAGTATGGACAGGGAGGAACAATTACAGAGGCACGTATGGGTATATCTGGATCAGTTTTTGATAAAACTGAAAAAATGGGAATCTATCCTTTCAATTTTTCTTCTATTCTATCTATCTATGGGAATTCTATTATTCCAGTACCTCGATACCATATCTGTGCCGAATGCCAACCCTCAGAGTCAAGGCAGCAGGGGGCGCACAGCAAGGTAACCCAAAGGCTGATGTTATGGCAGGGCTGCATATGTCACATAATGGGAGACAACGGTTCTCTCCAAACTTTCCTGAAACTGTGCAGGCAAGGCAAGGGCAGCACCAGAAACCATAGCAGCCTGAAAAACAAGAGTTGTTATATAGTGGCTTACAATCTGAGTTGCTTTATATGACTGGAAAAGAATTCGAAAATGTAATATAAAATATAACTTGAAATTAGTTGTGGAGTTCATTCTTACAAGAGTTTATGTCGTCACAGCAGTCAAAGAGGCCAGTCTTCCAGTTTGTCAAGGGATATGTTGCCATTGCTTAGTGAACTTTACCACAGATAGAAAACGATGAACCTGTTAACACACACAAATCCTGTTTAAAATTGTGTTCCTTTTGCACTTCACAGAAAACTTACAACACATTCATCCCTAATAGTCAATGATCTGATTAGATTTTGCAGCACCTCATTGCATAATTTGCATGTTAATGAGAATTCACACGCTGTTGATTTCATAGAACATCAAATTCAGTCATGTCTTAAAGATAATTACTAATACAAGTTTGTCTCTTAATGAAAAGCTAACTTCCTGCTTTAACAGTATAGTGACTTTATTAGGGTACAGACCCTTCAGCCAACTACTACACTGGTAAAATACACTACTACACCCATTTATATCCCATTCATGGTTCTCTAGCATAAATCACCACAACAGCAGCAAGTGTCTATAAGACTTTTTGTGCCTTTGGGTTTGTATTTGTCTTGGTGAACTTCCGTTAGTAAATTTGTATAGATAAGCATTAGAATCACAACAGTGTTGTCTACCTAATGTTAGTTTTGGTAGATTGTAATTGGACTGCAGCTTTAAAGCACTTTCTAGTCTTATTGACCACTCAAAGTGCTTTACACTACAGGTCACATTTACCCATTGACTCATACAACACTTTTTTATGCATAAAGCGCACAAAAATACACACTCACATGATACATCATGGGCAATTTGGGGTTCAGTATTGACATGTGGGCTGGAGGAGCCGCAGATTAAACCACCCATCTTCTGATTAGTGTACGACCCACTTTACCTCCTCAGCCACCACCGCCCAATCTTTTTTTGTATTTCTGGCCTCTATTTTCATGCAGGGTTAGTCTGTTAATGTATATTACAAATTTGCTGGATCTTATCGTTAACTTCTACAGCAGTAAGATAAAGCTGTCATTTCACTTTTAAAACTTAAAAGTTAAAAACTGAAACTCTTACCTGATCAAGCTGGGGAACTTGTTATGACCTGGGAAAGCTGTAAAAGAACATGCTTTGTTTGAGGTGTGGCATCTTATGCATGTTGATAAAGTAACCACAAGCATGCTGCAGAACCTGATCGTATGTGCAAAGAGATGGGAGAACAGCAGGCTACACATTAACAATAGGGTGGTCAGTGCTTAATGCAGGTGTAGCAAATCAGTTGGACACTATGCCAAAAAAGGTTGCATGCAAGATCCACACAAACACTAAATTCCCATAAGATACACATAATTAATTTTTTTATATATCTTTATTTTCTGAGCTTGCATCTGGCTACCTTGTTCTCAATAGGACTTCTGCGATTCCCCTTTCCCCACAATCCTTTTAAAATCTTGATTGTAGGATATGCCATTGTGGGCACTGCTTGGATTTTATGTGTTAAAAAAAAATATTTAGAAGCAGAAATTGACCCAAGCCTTGGCAGTAGTTTCAGTGTAGCATGACAAAAGATATTTCATCTCCATCCAACAATATATAACTACTCTAACTGCAGTGCCATTGTAAGAGATGGCAGACAAGTTAATGTTTGACAACAATACTCCCTCCCGCTAAAAGGACATTTAGCAATAAATATTCCATTTTGCATGCAGACAGGTTTGTCAACATTATCACAACCTTCAGTTCACAAACTTCTTTAGCGCCCTCTGTTGACTCTCTTTTATTACATTTTTGTAGCTTACAGTTGCTCAAGTGTTGTTTTGTTAGTCTGCTTATCTTAATGTTTTGTGATTACTATAATGATAATATAATTTTGTGAATACTATGTGATAATTTATCCGAGGCCTACATTTATTTTGCTTCTTCTCCGTCACCCTCAATGCCGATTTTGTTGCGTATCAAAGTGTTTTATGTATTTCATCCAACATAGTTTGTGGGGCCCATATGTGTGTGTTTTTTCCTGGTTTTTCTGTGTTGTCATGAAAGAGTGAATCCTTTCACTCTGCTGCAATGACACTTCGCACTGAGGTCAGGGGGCTTCCGGGCAAAGCCACAAGGAGCCACAGCAGTATAAAGGTATGCTGCTAATTCTGTCCATCACTAATTTAATATTGATGTGAAATGAAACAGTGACAGTTACTTAACCTGCCAGCATCGCCTGCTAAAAACTAAGTAGTGAGGTAAAGTGAAGAGAAGACAACATAATGATTCTAAAGTGAATGCAACATGATAAAATGTCAGTAACCTTAGCTGCTAAATTGGCCGTTAACTATAACATGATATTTTCATCCCAAATCTAATGTTTAGATGAAATGAAAAATGTCATTCACATCAGCTGGTAATTTGGTCATCAAGGTTTTAATGAGAAGAAAAGATGAAAATGTTTGCACACATTTGTCATAGCTGAAGGAACTATGACACCCAGTAGCCTTTGGCTCATGCAGACTCAGCAGCGGCCTGAAGATGGTGTCTGTCTCTTTTGTATTTTCTCATCAGAGACACCAAGGACAAACGTTTCTTAGAGTTTAAGAGAGTAAATCCAGAAGAGATGTTGCTTATTGGTGAATTTCTATTTTTTTTTTTACAACATATAACATAACAACAACCTCAGCTAAGTGAGTTTACTTTAGTTCAATTAATGACTTCCTAATTATTCACAACAGATTTATGTCCGAATGAAAATGATCTTTTGAAATTTATCAAATCACTGAAAAGTTGAGTACAAACCATAAGGTAGTAGTAGTTTACTAATTGTTTACTGTGTAAGTGTTGATAGCTGATCACATTAGTTTGTGTTATCTCTGAATGTCAGCTGATCAATATTCAGATATAATGATTGGCAAAAACTCATGGTGAACATGCTGACATATTTGAATGCTGTCTTGGACTGAGTTGGCTTTAAGACAGTCATTAAACAATAATCTTAATTCTGCTTTTAAATAATCCTCTTATTCTTACTGCTTTATCTTTTAACTAGGGATGCTTCTCATTATCATGGAATGTCTCCCCATTTTCTTCACTGTCGTCGTGTCCCAGTCGCTCACAGATCAGAAAAGATGCAGCATCCATTTCTCCAACGTGTCATCTGAGCCAAAATCAGTTTCTGGTGACAACAGCACAGCTGGATCACAGCTGGATCAGGTGTCAGTGTGCAGGTGTTAAGAGCTCACTATGCATTGGAGCTTGTAATTGCAGAGATGAAATGACTTACTGTCCAAATAGTAAGTACATCCAGTGCAGTGGTGTAGTGACATCGTCCAACAGGACAAAAGTGACTGTGCTGCACATTCATTAAAAACATGTATTTTGTGTTTATATTGTGAACAGATCCATCATAAAGTTACTGCTCAGACACTGAAAGCTAATGACCCTGCGTGGCTGTGTGGGTTTCTGTGTTGTTTGTTTGTTTGAATTCTCTAAATATTTCCATTTAAACACATGGTTGGTATATAATGTTCAATGCAATGTCTCAAAGTCGGACAGTTTTAAAAATCACAATAATGTGTGTGTGTCAGCGTACGGCATTTTATTGTTCTTTCAGTGGTAAGTTAAAGAAAACAAATTGATTATGTGTAAATTACATTTATGGTTTTTCAGATTCACTGCTCTTTGCAACTTAACATCAGATCATCAAATCGTCATCAAAATCATTTTTATCATGTTTTGTTCTTCATGCAATATCCGCTTGTTGTAACTAAAAGAAATACGTTGTCAGTTAGCATTTTACTGATTCGTTCAGTATCAACTTTTCGTAGCTAGCCAGATATGTTAAAGTTACAGTATGTAACTTTTCTCTATTTCATTTTATTTATTTTTTGTAAAAATATGCCCCAACACATATCTTAATGTGGAGAGGCGCTGTCAGAGGCTTCTGTGACCCACACTCAATGAACAGCCTGGCATCAGTGCAGAGTTTTTGAGCGAGTCTTGCCCTCCTAATGAATAACAGGAAGAAGGAAGTATATCTACTAAAGTCATTTGCCTCATGTGAAGGAGTAAGACCTTGCAATCTGTCTCTTCTTTGCCAGTTGTTTAGGCACCACTGTTTCCAGTAGCCTCCTCACTAGATCCAGCCTCCCTGTCTGGATCAGAGCCTTGGATAACTCTGTGACGTCTTCTGTGCTAGTCCTGTAAAGGCACCTTAGCTCTGCCTTCACAATGTCCTTAGGGTACCTCTCCTCTGCCTTTTGCACCCACATCTCCAGCTGGGAGATGGCAGGAGTGGGATCAGGGCCTCCCTGCATGAACACAGCCAGGAGGGCCTGTAGGAGGCAGCGCAGGGCTGTGGTGTCTGTGCTGCCTTGCCTCTCCAACTCCACAGCCTGTTTGAAGCAGTCTGCGGCGTTCTGCTCCTCACCTTTCAGCAGGAGGCAGCGTCCTCTGAGCACATGGAGGTCTGGCAAGCTGTCACCAAGCTCAAACTGTAAGGCATGGGACAAACTCACTAACGCACTATTCACTGCTGCTTCATCCACCAAAAGGCTCTCCCGGAGCGCATCTACACCCATGTAGTAGTACACCTAAAGAGGAAGACATAGAACTGAAAACTCTGCTGCTGTACAAAATCTGTTTATATTGCTCATTATCTCGTTATGCCCTTACCTGTGCCATCTCCAGATGAGTCCGCAGACATGGACGTACAGTCGAAACCTTGTCCAGGTCTTTTCTGGCCTCAGTTAGCCTCTGTCGGTCTGGGATTCCACCCTCACCATTTTTTGCCTTCTCTAGGTCCCTGACGTAGAGCATCATATTGATCTAAAAGGAAATCAAATATAAAAGTATAATTTTACATATTATGTTATTTTATTTTTTTCATTTTATGCAGCTGTTTGGAGTATAAAAAAAATAATTGTTACCATTTCTAAATAGATATAAACAATTTCTATCACATAACAGCTTAAACATTAGATTTAATTGTACAAATATGTGATTTCTGTGCATCTTTCAGCCATGCTTGCAGGCTCTGCTTTGGCATTGACTTGATGTACTACAGCTGCAGTACCTTGGCGCGGGTGCAGTAAGCCTGCCAGTTGAGCTCTGGATCTGGCAGCACATTCAGAGCCATGTTGCTGATCCCTGTGGCCATCTCATATTTGCCCAGCAGAAAGAAGACCTTGGCCAGAAGGTTCAGGATGAATGCATCATCACCGGCCATATTTATGGCCTGAAGACACAGACAGTTGTATGTTATGGTGGTGCATATAGAGGTCTAGTTTCTAGTTTGTATCTTTTAGTATATAGTGTTAGCCTATGGTAATGTCCTGGAAACAGATCTCATCAGCTATCAAACTCAGTCTTCTGCCCCGTGTGTAGCTGCACAGCTAGCTAGAAAGTTTGCTAAACACTCTACCAATACCAACAGCAGACCACCAAAACTTGAATGATGGTATTTACAAATCAGAAAAAAATAACTAATGATAGTACAGTAACAAGAAAATTCAATTAAAAAATGTCAAATAAAACTAGCTCTCCCTAATGACAGGAAAAAGTGATCACCAGTGAAAGAACCTCAAGTTTCTATTGTAAGTAGCCTACAATACATTAATTAATCAAATAAACATATATGCATTTACAGGAGTGAAAGAAAGTGTGTTGGCACAACTGTAACAAATGGAAAAAACTTTTCAGATTTAGAGCAGTTCTAGGTAAAATAGTCCTCGCTTGTTATTATTTCTTCTAATTTGACTCTTATTTGGGGAGAGATTTAAATGTATGGGTGTACTTACAGTTCCATAGCAGGACAGCGGATCAGAGGCAGAGAATCCACAGTCATGTATAGACATGGGTACAGTGGTGAACTCTTCCTTCCTCTCCAACATGATGCCAACATAACACCAGGCTAGAGCTGAGGACAGAGATCCAAGTGTTTTCTTTAAGCATATGTTGGTGTCTCCTGATTGAAGAAATGGTTACCATAATACCTTAACATCATTGCCAGTTTTATTACTAAAAGAAGTTTCTGACAGTAGTTAAATTAACTATGAACTATGGTCCATATGCAATAGATTGCAAAACCTAAATCCAGTGGTGAACAGAATAACTACTATTATAGCTCAGGTATTTCACTTGAGTATTTCCCATCATGCAAGTTCCACTTCATTTATCTGACGTTTTGTCACTGCTACTTTGCCTATACTTTGCATACTGCTTACATGTTAATACATCAGCAATATTAAATAAATAATTGTCTAATAATATAATAGTTTAAATTCTTACAGGAGCCATTCTGCATGAGTACATTTTGCTGATAATACTTTTTACGTAGGTAATCTTTTGAGTCATGGACTGTTACTTGTACTAGAGTATTTTACAATGCTTTATTGCAGCTTGTGCCGCAGAGTTGTGTTGCATATTCTGCATAATGCCTCTAAATGTAGGCTACAACAGAGCAGATATAAAACATACAGAACCATACTGTGTTTACCTTTGTGTTGTGTTTTCTCCGATTTGAGCGTTTCTTTGAGAAGCCTCAGTCCCTTGTTGTAGTGAGAGAGTCTGGAGTATTCAGAGTCATCTTTGCTCTTTACTATGTCATCTAGTCTGCAGGGCGGGGAGAGAATAAATTGGTAAACATAGAACATTAAATGGCACGGTGGTTATTTATCAAAATCTTTTGATGGTCGGTTTTGTACCTTATATAGATGGCTGCCATTTTAAAATACCAACTTCGTCTTTCCTCTGTTGGTATCTGAAAGACATTATGTCTTTAATAAAGAATGAAATTACATTTCCTGAGCAGGAATAACAGGAACTTGCTTTTACCCTCAAACGAGGGCAGTTTTGCACTTGTCTAGGTCAGTCACCTAGCTATGGTTTAGGGCCATAAACACAAAATTGACTTAATTTGGAGGGAACTTTTATTTTATATCCAAGTTACTGTGAGTTAAGTTTCATATTAAAAAAGCCTAGCCATATCCTCTAACCTCAGCGAGAATTTTCGGGGAAGATGAGTCATGGAGCAACGAATTAAATGATAAAGTGATGACTAACACTGCATGATTGAAGTGCCAACCAATAAAATCCCTGAAAGCTCATGAATCACAGAATGATGTGTATCGACTCATCTAACCAGTTGTTGTTTTTGAGCTCCTCCTTTAATTCACATTCTCCATGTTAATGAGACATTTACAGCTTTATATTCGGTTTTACATTACATGTGTGTTTCCTTCTCACCAGTTGTCCCCCATAGACCAGGGCTCTGTTGAACAATATCAGTGCTTTAGTCAGTCTCTCTCTCAGGTCATCGTCACTCTCCAGCTCCACATCATATGGATAAGCGTAGGCCTGTTCAGCCAGGCACCGGGCCGCCAGTAGTCTGCTCTCTTCCTGAGAGGGCTCCCCAGCATCTAAACCCATGAGGTGGGACACCTTCTCCACACACTCCGCTGCATCCAGCTCCCTCTGCAGCTTATCATACACATAGCCCAGGTTGGCCCAGGCATTCAGGTTCCCAGGGTCTTCTTTACAAATGTTTCTGAAAGGCCAAAATACACAGAGAGAGATAAAAGTCTTCAACACGGGAAGTAACTTAAAAATATTGGTCTGCCTGTCTGTCTGTCTATCTGTTTATTTTTACTGGATGGATTACCATGAAAGTTTGTAAACACATTAATGGTCACCAGAGAATGAATCCTACAGACTTTGTTGATCCCCTGACCCTTAAGTTTGTGCGACCATTAGGTTAAGATTTTGGCTTTTAGTGAAATGTCAGACAGATGCTAGATGGATTGCCATATGTGCCATTTGGTCACACATTCATGTCCACCTTAGGATGAACACAAATCACTTTGGTGATTCAATGTCCAATTCTTTGCTATGAGACCAAGTACTTGCAAAACTATCACATTCCCATCAGCCTCAGCTGTACTTTGTTTATAGTGCTAATTAACAAATGTTGAATGCATTGCCAATGTGAGCATATTAGCATGCTGATGTTTAGCTCGACGCACCACTGTGCCATAGTAGTAAGTACAGCCACACAGAGCTGCCAGCATGGCTGTAAGCTCTTTTTAACTGGTACAGTTAACTTAGTAGAGTATTGACATTGAGCATAGCGATCCAGACGTCGGTGTTACTCTGATAAGATGAAGTGTTCTAAAGTATTCCTGAGCTATGGCCAAAACCATGTTTTGTGAGGTCAGAGTGACCTTTGACCTCTGACCAAAATCTAGTTAGTTCATCCTTGAGTCCAAGTGAATGTTTGTGCCAAATTTGAAGAAATTCCCTCAAGGCGTTCCTGAGATATCACATTTATGAGAATGGGGCGGACAGACGGATGGACAGACGGATGGACAGATGGATGGACGGACAACCCAAAAACATAATGCCTCAAGCCATGTCTGTGACCAGAGCGGAGGCATAAAACAGAAGCACAAGAAGATGTAAGAAGTGATCTAAAAAATGAAAACAGCATTATGTATAGTTTATGACTACTATATGAAGCGTTGATAATATATAATAATAGAAGTAACAGAAGCTAAGTTGCATAAATAAGATGAAATTGCACTTGATGGAAATGGCATCAGATGAGTAGTATACAACAGTATGTGTACGCAGACAACCAGGTTAGCAATGTCTACATTTGTTGAAGATACTTGTTCATTTTATTTTTACAAAGTCAAACAAGTCAGGTTTATGAACAGTATGTTAGTTATACAGCATGCTGCATATGTGGCCCAGCCTGTCATTTACCATCCGTCAACTATACTGTGTAATATTACTGTGAATTTATGACATTGTGGTAATGTTTTACTATAGCTGGTAGAAGATCAGATTACGTTTTCTGTGCTGTAGTGTTGTGTAGGCATTCAGTGTGTGGTGGTTCTACGTAAGATTACAAAGGAGAGGCATAGGTAAAACACAAGTTTCAACTTGTCAAAATGACTTATAAATGCATCAACAATGTCTCAAAATAATGATAACAGCATATCATCACCTAAATATTTCCTCTGCTGCGTCCAGCTGTTCGAGGTGAAAAGCCAGCAGACCCAGGAGATTTCGGACAGCGTACTGTAGATATCCAGGTTCGGCCTCTAACTCTCCCCGCAGGCTCTCCTGTTTTAGAAAAGTGTCCCTGTGTCGCAGCTTTGCAGGCCCAACAGGATCACAATTGAAGTTGAGGTCCAGGTGGAAGTGACCGGGGATAAAGTCCATGCCCTCCATGAGAGACTCAATGTCATCTGTGTTGTCTGCTTCCATGGCCTCCTGCTCCTCCTGCTTCTCCTGTTCTTCCACCTGTTATTAAAAAAAAAAAAAAAAAAAAAGACAAGAAACTTTAACAAATACAAAAAAAGAAGAGATCGCGTCTGTATATTTTTTAACTGAAGATCCTACATAAGAAAATACCTTTTCCTCCTCAGCTTACAGTTCAAACTACTTTGACATAATCAACCCACCCACTCTTGTCAAGCAGGTGCAGACTGGTTGAACAGGTTATGCTCGGGAGTAACTAGGGAGTGGAGTGTAAGGAGGAGACAGCGAATAACTGTAGATAGACGTTTGTTCTTTTTCCAGTACACTTTTTTTTTTTTTTATATCAAATCCCCCTCTTGATTCTCATTCACACCATTCTTGGTTGGTATGCATAAATACATAAAATCTAGTCATTTCTATTCAATCGTCTTCCTGAAAATGGAGAGTAACAAGGCTTCTGAGCTGCACTTCCTTTGCTCTTTCTCTCTCCCTCTTTAATTATTTGGCTTTGTAACAGAAATACCAACTAACATTCCTTAAAGTCCATTCTGACAGATATATTATTATTATTATTTATCTTTTTACGTCTTGAGTTTTGTAAAAATTGTTTTGAAGCATTGTTTTGGAGAATGTTTCAGCTGTTTAAGCCCCCTCTGCCCCTGCATGTGTCAGCTGTAGCCAACCCAAGAATGTGAACCATCAGGCTCGGTGGGACACTGGAAACACTGAGGGACACTGAATCAGACGTTCACCTTGCTTAACGCTACTCCTTTAAATTGCCTCTCATTTCCACAAAAAAAAAAAAAAATAATAATTTAGACATAACAAGAATGGGTTAATTAAAGAAAAACATGTAGCAGTATGATAAGCTGTTTACAGAATAGCTGAGAGTAAACACCTAGAGAAGATATGCAAATACTCAGCAAAGAGTTCAACAGAAGCAAACAATAACTGTGAATCCTTGTTATCCTGCAAGTCACAATACTATCTTAGAACATCTGATACACACGTGATAAGCACATTCTTGTTTCTGAATGCTTTTGCATACAAACCTAAACTCTTCCATCAGAGGGTAATCTTCTGTCATGACAAACCAGACTGACAGTGGAACAAAAGGAAGAAGGTGTTGAGTGTTGTAAGCCTAATATCACATTCAGTGTCTTATCAGGGTTAACAGGCCAGCATCAAAAGTGTCTCCCAACCAAGTGCGAGGTCTCTGAGGAAAAACTCACCCTCAGCACATAAGGGACCTCGGGAGAGAAGACTGAAAGACATCAGTCCTCCTCTGACAGATTGGGTTTAGTAGTAGCTGTAGGTGGCAGCGAAGAAATCAGGAAACATTTACAGAAACCTGTAGTAATAGAATTATACTATTGAGTTCAACAGTAGGCTTATAGTAAGAGCAGTTTAGATACAACAAGATCAATAATATAAGTTCAATGTGATAAGCACAAGGAAGAGACTGTCCTCCTGTAAAAAAACAACCTCATAGGTCGTCTGTGCAAGCATCTTATTACAACCCATAGTTACGTTTTATCATTAGGTGACCACTAGCAGGCGTATTAATTACAACAGGAGCAAAGGAGGAAGTCAGGTGACATATATATATATATATATATATATATATAGAGAGAGAGAGAGAGAGAGAGTCTGCATTAGGAGGAAGTTGTGGTGGATGGATGGGACGACGAAACACGGGACCTTCACACTATACTGCGTTTGTTTCACGTGTGAAACTGATGATTAAAGTTGTTTGTTTTATACATGACTATTCTACGACCTGTTGTAACCATGACGATGAAGGTTCTCTAACCTTAAGGATGTACTTATTTTAACATAAACTGAAATCTTTTCCTAAACTTAACCAACTAGATTTTGTGCCTAAACCTAACCAAACCGTGACCATTCCACAGCCTTAAACTTGTGTTTATTAATGTTAACATGAGGATGAAGGTCCAGTACGCCCGCCGCTGGTCATTCCTGTGGGTCATATCGAAGGATGGGGATGAACGACCTGTATGATCGTTTAGGTTGAAAGAATCGTTGCCCAGACGGAATTGTAGAGACCAATAGCACATATTTCTAAGTCTTGGTAGGTGGGAGGTGGGATAGATGGTAAAATGATGGCTAGATTACTGAAATATGGAGGAGGCTTATATTTTTTGACCTGCCAAGAAAATACTAGTTCTGAGCAGGTTTTGAGTATGTGGTGTGTTCTGCCAGTAGCTTGCTATAACAACTCCAGCATGAAGTTTTATGGCTCTCATCTCTGTGCTCTGGGGACAAAATTGTTGAAAGTCTGCATGCTTGGTGTTTTACCGCTCTTCAAGATGGGCAATGTTACTGCAAATTAAGAAAATTGGTCTCATGCTTTCCCCACACACAACACAATCTATGTGTGTATGATATATCATGAAAGCAACGTGTAACTTGCATCTGAGAATCTCACAACCATCTGAGTGAGGTTGTATTGGCATTTTGATTCTGGTCCAAATTAAATTGTATTTAGGGCTGGATATTATAAATGTGTGGTATGTGGATAAGGCATACATCATATGTAATTGTTACATGACAAGAGAAAACAGAGACTTGCCATCCTGGGAGCAAAGAAGACTTAACCCATCTGAAAAAGGAAGGAGCCAGTTGGGACACAGCTGGCAGCAGTGGACCATCAGGCCACAGGGCACACAGGTCAATTAGTGTAGTCTTCTAAATACTGCATAAACATGTCTGTTTTTGATGTGGGTGGAATCTGGATCACCTCGAGCAAACCCACGCAAATATGGAGAGAACATGCAAACCCACACAAAAAAGCCTCTGTCAGGTTTGAATTAGTGCTGAACCTCCTATGCTGCCCCTGAAGCACCTACAGTAGCTAGTTCCCATCAGGATGTGTTGCATAATGTGTATTTGGTACAGTAGATCAGCCCCCCGAGTGGGTAGTCTTTTTCCATTTGTACCATGTGGGTGTGCAGAAATCTGAAAATGTTCTCTCGACAACCGTTGCCATGGTGGTCATCATGGATACCAGGCTGATTGCATGGTCACATAATAATTACAGATGCTTGTTTGTGCTCCAAAAAGCCCCAATTTCCATGACAGACTTTACATTCCAGCAGCTAAGAGACAAAACAAAGGTATTATGGGGGAGATGTTGACCCCTAATAATCCCTTTAGCCTTTCAGTACTCCCCTGTAAAGTAGGATTAGGATATGTGTCCCACATACTGGTAAAGGTTCTTTTGCTTTTGAACTAACCCCTTGTTAACCTACTTAATTGTTTTGGTGTCTGTCTTCGTTTTTGGCACAAAGTGTGTAACAGAGGAACAACAATATACAGCAGGGATATGAGCACATATATGATATATGAACAGGAAATGTACTCTGAACAGATGTAAACAGCATCCAAATTTTTGTAGTAATATTTGTTAATTTCATGATGTTGATATTGAAGCCTGCACAGGTCGACAGTAGATGGGAGCTGATGAGCTCAAGTTAGGGACCGTTTCAAAAGTGCATTCAAAAGGGCCAAGACAGCTTTTCAGATTTTTGTCAATAGATTTCTCTGTATTTTTCATGGCCGACTTTTTTTTAGCTGAACGAGCTATACTGTGGCCATTTCTTCGTCAATAGCGCTCTCAATTTTTACCCATTTTACACTTTAAACCAATTTACAGTTACGCTTATTACAGGCTTGAAATATTCAATTCCACCTGAACAGAAAACACTTTACCCAGCTTTTATTTAGACTCAGTTTATAGTAGACTTACCTTGTTAAGGTGGGCTTCAAATACAAATCATCATTGTTATATTATTATGTTACTTGTTATATTTTGGAAGCGGTAGACATATAGGCCACAATATATACAGACAATCATTGGCAACATAAAGGAAAGTTAGCTTGCTCATAATGCGTTTGTATCTGAGCATGTTTCTGTCCTCTCTATGTAGAACTTGCAGAGACCATGCATCAAAGTTCTCTAAATTCCATCTCTGCAGAGACATTACATTTACATTGACAGGAGCATAGCTGTGAAATTTGGGGCCCCTCACGAGATGTGACACTGAATACAAAGGAACATAGGATCACAGGAAACCCTCATTAATACCAGTCTTTATACTTCCCCATCCCCTCACTCGAAGATGAGCTCTCCCCAGCCATTAACACCTTTTTTATCCCTTTAATATCTGTCTGTAATACTGCTCCACATCACTGATAAGAATGGAGGGATTTAACAATTCGGTAAATATGTTCTCCCCCAGCAAACAGAAGCCTCACTCTGGTATCTTGGCATCATGTCACATCAGAAAAACTGAGACAGCCATAATCCACTTCAATCCTGACCCTGCTTTTAAGCTATATTGTTATTTAATACAGATGTCCATCCCCCTTTTACTGCAGATTCCCTTTTGTTCTCCCGAGACACACTTGTACATTTAATTAGTGCTTATAGCTGAGAACTCCTCTGCCTTTCTAATCAGTGTTGACTACGACTGTATTTCCATTCTTAGTCAGCTTCTCTCTGGCACCCTGAGCGAGCGTTCACAGTGAAAAGCATCTCTTCAGCTCTCTGAAGGCATTCTCTGACTGCAAATTACACCAATGAATTGCTCTTTGTGTTTCTGTGTGCAACAGGCTCACAAAACGGATGCAACATTTTCAGGAAATTGTATTCATCCATGATTAAGAATTGGGATGTTTAAAAGCCTTGTTAGCCATGTGTCTTGGTTACTCAGCCCGTGTGAATGAAACAACCTCCAGATAGATTTGTTCATAAAATTATAAAATGCTTTCCTGCTTAAGCCATTGGGAAAATGTCAGAGGAAAAATGATCCTCACCAAACACCTTGTTGAATTTAATCTCCATTACTCCAAAACATTGCCAATGCGATACGTCAGCCCGCCAGTCTCATAACCACAAGCTTTAACCTGATGTATTGCGGCAGCCACGGTGCCTGTGGCTCCAGATGAGGAGGTTCAAGCCTGTCTTGGAAAAGTCTGTCTGGACTGAATCTCGGTGAGCTGGGAGAAGTGTGTCATGTAGAGCTGCGGGGTGTGAGTGTGTGTAAGTGTATTAAGAGTAATGTGATAGTCTTTAGTAACACAGACAACTGTCGTAACTCATTACACTGACTAGACTCTTCATCCATCCCACCCAGAGGGGCTC